AAGATAAGGCACCATCTTGTCTTCCACGTTCCTTCCTTTAGTCTCCCACTTAGACTAAAGATCAGATCATGCAAGTAAACAAATCCCACTTCAGCCACCTTCCACAAAACCAGAAAATGGAGAATGGATTCTCCAAACCAAGACAACCAATTGGCAATGAGTGCTCTCCCAACTATACAGCAGGTAGTCCACCTTCTTTTACCTCAGAAGTGACCCATTAAACACCTGCAATCTTGTGGAAAGCGATAGCCACCGAAAAAGTAGTTGAAAACACGTAAGGAAAACATCAGCACAGCACTGAAGCGATCGGTCGCGGATACCTTGCGACCGGTCGCGGATACGTTTTTGATACGTTGCGACCGGTCGCGGATACCTGCGACCGGTCGCTTTCTGCGAATTCTTCAGACTTCGAATCTGCTTCTAAACGACCGGTCGCCCAAACCTTGCGACCGGTCGCTCACTCCTTCGCTTGCATACTAAATGTGAGCCAATTTTACAACACCACCCAGCCACCGGACCGGTCAAGTTTTGACCGGCGTCGCACCCCAAGCCAGCTCCGACCTTCCTCCTACCTCTGCTGCTACTGTTTTGCCGAAAAATCCCGATTTTGATCGGATTTGTACTCGGTTTTTCCAATCCCTCGATCTCTCTCCTCCGGCCCTCAAATCCTTCGATTGAGGTATGGTTTTCTAGCTAGTTTCCATTGTCTTCTTCATTTTTTTTATTTCTACAGAATTTCAGTCGTGTTTATTGTTTAGGTTGAATGTATCAATTGGAATATTGATCAAGGTGAAAAATCCAAACTATGGAGGCTTTAAGTATGAAAACAGCACAGCTCATATCAGTTATCGTGGGAATGTCGTCGCTGAAGCTCCGATCGAAGAAGACACAATTCCAGCTCGTGCGACTCATAACATCACCTCTTCTGTATTAGGTTATTGCTTTCTAATTTCTCGTTGACTGTGCTTCTGTATGTGTTGTACTGGATAAAATACCAATATTTTAATATGTACCTGCCATTTCATATTGTAGGTGCTAATTCCAGTTGTCAGCTCCCAGCTAGAAATTGCTACAGGTTCTCGGGATATACTAAAGATTAAAGCTTGTCTGTTTTCAGTTTGCACTTCCCTTGTGGTAATTGTTTTTTATGGTCAATATCTTGGCAGAGTTTGTGCTTTATTCTTCTGCCACGACCTCTGGCATCTTTTGTTTTATTTGCATTGATCTAATGTTGAGGTTCCTGTCATGGATAGGTTAGAGGCAGGGAATCACTTTCTCATCCTTTTATGCTCAAAATCAGAAAAACATTGGAGACAATGCTATTATGGCCTTCTGTTGATGGGGATGAAGGTGTGTGATAAGTAAAGTTTCTCAAACACGTATCAATTTTGTTTCTATTGGTTAAGTTTGATGCTGATAGGTTTCTATCCCCTCAGTATCTAAAGCACAGCATGGGTGCATTGATTCCCCGGCACTGATGATATGTGCTGAGCTGCAAGATCCAGAATCATTTAGCATTGTTGGGAAGAAAGTTGATCTTGGTTATTGCATTATCCTAAGTATGAACTTAAATTTTGTAGGGCACATGTGACTTTTATGATCCATAATGCAGGTGATGCTTCATCAGGAAACTCCGTCCTCACCTATGTGATCAATAAACTTATACAAGATAACCACCAACCTTTTGTATCATCCAACTTGGATGATGTGAAATGCTCGTCTGAGGTTTGGTGGTTTTCAATACTTGGCTTTGACATCTTTGTGCATGCAGAAAACGGAAACTGCAATGCAGAAAACGGAATGTGCAATGCAAAAAACAGAAACATGAATAACCTATTTTACATTCTAGGTGGTTTTCAGTCTGATTCCCTCTCTCCCAACATGTTTTGAATAAAAAAAAAATATTGTTTTGTTTTGTTTAACTTTAGAGCTGAGCATTTTTGCCCAGGCTCAGCATTTCAGTGTCTATTTTTGTATTGCAGTTTCTCTTTATGCATTGCAGTTTCTGTTTCTGCATCGCAGTTTCTGTTTCTGCATCGCAGTTTGTTTCTGCATTGCAGTTTCTATTTCTGCATTGCAGTTTCTGTTTCTGCATCGCAGTTTCTGTTTCTGCATCGCAGTTTGTTTCTGCATTGCAGTTTCTATTTCTGCATTGCAGTTTCTGTTTCTGCATCGCAGTTTCTGTTTCTGCATCGCAGTTTGTTTCTGCATTGCAGTTTCTATTTCTGCATTGCAGTTTCTGTTTCTGCATCGCAGTTTCTGTTTCTGCATCGCAGTTTGTTTCTGCATTGCAGTTTCTATTTCTGCATTGCAGTTTCTGTTTCTGCATCGCAGTTTCTGTTTCTGCATCGCAGTTTGTTTCTGCATTGCAGTTTCTATTTCTGCATTGCAGTTTCTGTTTCTGCATCGCAGTTTCTGTTTCTGCATCGCAGTTTGTTTCTGCATTGCAGTTTCTATTTCTGCATTGCAGTTTCTGTTTCTGCATCGCAGTTTCTGTTTCTGCATCGCAGTTTGTTTCTGCATTGCAGTTTCTATTTCTGCATTGCAGTTTCTGTTTCTGCATCGCAGTTTCCATTTTAGTACTTTCATCTTGGTTCCTCCATTTTGCTTCTATTTTTTTAATGATATTTTTGTAAAATTGGGTACTCATTTTGGTCTTTGGCCTTATGCTAATTAGATGAAATTGTATTTCTTTCTACTAAATTAGTAAACTATATTTTGGTCTTTGGCCTTATGCTAATTAGATGAAATTGTATTTCTTTCTACTAAATTAGTAAACTATATTTTGGTCTTTGGCCTTATGCTAATTAGATGAAATTGTATTTCTTTCTACTAAATTAGTAAACTATATTTTGGTCTTTGGCCTTATGCTAATTAGATGAAATTGTATTTCTTTCTACTAAATTAGTAAACTATATTTTGGTCTTTGGCCTTATGCTAATTAGATGAAATTGTATTTCTTTCTACTAAATTAGTAAACTATATTTTGGTCTTTGGCCTTATGCTAATTAGATGAAATTGTATTTCTTTCTACTAAATTAGTAAACTATATTTTGGTCTTTGGCCTTATGCTAATTAGATGAAATTGTATTTCTTTCTACTAAATATTGGGTACTCATTTTGGTCTTTGGCCTTATGCTAATTAGATGAAATTGTATTTCTTTCTACTAAATTAGTAAACTATATTTTGGTCTTTGGCCTTATGCTAATTAGATGAAGTTGCATTCCTAAAAGGACACAAATTAATGTGCAAACAACCAATTAAAAATACCCGCAAGTGCACGAATCTAATGAAGTATAGATTATGTA